AAGATTAGGCGCCTCGACTACGCTACTTATACGCCGTACACCCGAGGTAGGCTCGTTAATACGGATCTAAGTATCTAACTTAATACTAAAGGTGTTTACCGCCGCCTTATAAGCCGCTTCCTCCTAACTACCCTTCTATATAGTAGTATCTACTAGATTAAGCTCGTAGGCCGTAGCTATAACGCTATTATAGCGTAGGCGTATCGCTACCGGCACGGGTTTATACTTATAATAATTGTTCCTTTAAGGGAACGTTAGCGCTACGTAAGAGAGGAGCAGGCGTCTCGAATAAGCGTTACTTACTTATAGTAGTCGTACTTACGCTTAAACGAGCTAAAGACGGCGTTATAGCGATAGCTAATATAAAGGTGTACTAACCGCGTATAGCGGCGATAGGCCGTAGGCACCTCGACGGCGCGGCGCTTACTTACCGACGCTTAAGCGGGGGTCGCCGGCGGATCGGGTACGCTACGCTTACGGGGAGTACGTAGCGGCATAATAAAGAGTAGATGTTTAGAAGAGAAATCTATAAGGTAGAAAGAATGTTAACAAGAGGTAGTTGCTAGGGTATATTACTTAGCAAATAACCTACTTAGAGATCTATAGATATAAGACCCTTACGGATAGTAGCGGTAACGTATACGCCGCGTAGTAGAGGACTTATCGACCCTCTTATCGAGTAGCGGTCGTTAAGGGAATTAAACCCTCGCCCTTCTAGATACGGCATTTAGCCTACTAGAAGGAGGATAAAGTTCTAAAAGCGGCTACATCCTATATAGCTAGTTTAACTAGCCGGCTTTTATGTAAATAGCCCGAAGGTTGCTTAGAAAATAGGCACTTTACTATATAGAGTCTACGGACCCCGAGCGCGACGCATACGATGCGCGCGCGCCTCTATTTCCTAAGACCACGAACTAAGGCTAGTTCGTATAGGGGGAAGGAGGTAATTATAAGGGCCGTGTAAGAGCCCTTACAATAATAGGATTAATAGAGGTAGCTAGATTAACTAACCTTAGAGAAGGGAGTATAATGTAACCTAACTACTTAGCGTAGGCTTAGCGTATGCATAACTCCTACGTATAGCGCACATTTAACCTACAAGAATTAGTCTTATCTCTAATCGAGTAATTACGGGTATCTAATACATTGCTACATCTTTACCCTTACACCTTTACCTTTTCTAGTAAATCGGCGACCCTACTAGGTTACGTCGAGCTCTATTAGTCGTAAACTATAGTCGTCCCGTAGCTAGCGGTTCCCGTATAAGACGAAGTTATTACCCTTCGGTCTATTATCCTTATAAGGAAGGTAGCCTACCTTTCCGGCGGGTTTAGAGTCGTATCGCTTTTCTAGAGCTCTCTTATAGAGCTTATCGTCGATATCGATCGAGACCTTAACTAATCCTTCTATATCGTTAATAGACCGTCTATTACGTATAAGTTCGTCCTTAATAGAGTATAAGGGCCGTATAAGAGCCCTTATAATAATAGGATTAATAGAGGTAGCTAGATTAACTAACCTTAGAGAAGGGAG